AGAGAGAGAGACAGACAAAAAAAAAAGGGGGGGGGAGCACACAACCTACCCAAACTAACTCAAGAGAAAATAAAACATCTCAACAGACCAATAACAAGTGAAGGGATTGAATCAGTGATCAGAAACCTCCGAACAACAACAACAAAATGTCTTGGAACGGATGGTTTCACTGGGGAATTCTACCAAACATTTACAAATTGAGGCCAATACTATTTAAACTGTGCTCTGGTGGCATAGTGCCTAAGGCATTTGATGGCTAACCAAAAGACTGGCAGTTCAAACCCACCAGCCACTCCTTGGAAGGAAGACTGGGCAATCTACTTTTGTAGAGACACCATCTCAGAAACCCAAGGAGGGGTCGCTATGACTCAAATCAACTCAATGGCAGTGAGTTTGGTTTTTGGTTACTGTTTAAACGTTCCAAAAGACAGAGAAGGAAGGAATAATCCTTAATTTATTCTATGAAGCAAACACAGCCCTGATTCCCAAACCATCAAAAATATCACACACAAAAAAATAATGACAGCATATTAAAAGAGTCATACACCATGACCAAGTGGGATTTATTCTAGGAGTGCAGGGATGGTTCTACATTAGAGTTGGATCTGACTCAATGACAATGAGTAAATAAATAGAAAGATGTTCTATGTTCATGGATTGGAACACTTAATATTGTTAAAATGTCAATACTACCCAAAGCAATCTATAAATTCAAGGCAATATCAATCAAAATTCTAACAGCATTCTTTACAGAAATAGAAAAATCAATCCTCAACTTTATATGGAAAGGCAAAAGGCCTCAAATTGCTAAAATAATTCATGAAAAAGAACAAGGTAGGAGACTCATGCCTCCTGATTTTAAAACATGCTACACAGCTACAGTAATAAAAACAGCCTGATAGTGGTACAATAGACATACAGACCAATGGGATAGAATTCAGAGTCCAGAGGTAAACCCATACATCTATGGTCAACTGAATTTTGACAAGGGCGTTAAGTCCATTTGATGGGGAAATGAAAGTCTCTTTAAGAAATGGTGTTGGAAAAATTGACTTTCTACATTTAGAGAAAGGAAACAGGATCCTTCTCTCACACCACACACTAAAACAAATTCAAAATGGGTTAAGGACCTAAAGGTGCAACACCATAAAATTCTTAGAAGAACAAGCAGAGTCAATGCTGTCAGGCCTAGCTTTCAACAATGGATTATCTAATGTAATAATAAAAGCTCAAACAGCACAACAAAATAAATACATAGGACCCTCATAAAAAGTAAACTTTTTTTCAATCAAAAGATTTTACCCAAAAAGTAAAAAGACAAGCTACTGACTGAGAGAAAGAATATCACTGGAAAACATATATCTGACAAGAATCTAATAATCAAAATATATAAAGAGGAACACTCAAATAGCCACCAAATACATGAAAAGATACTCAGTGTCATTAGCCGTCAGAGAGATGCAATTTAAAACCACAATGAGACACTATTTCACTCCACTGGCATGGCTAAGATAAAAAAAAAAAAAAAAAGAAAGAAAATAAATGTTGGTGAGGATATGTAGAAATTGGAATCCTTATCCACTGCTGGTGGGAATACAAAATAGTACGGTCGCTATGGAAAACCGTATGTGGCTCCTCAGAAAACTAAAAATAGAACTACTTCATGACTCGGAAATTCTACTCACAGGTCTATACCAAAAAGAGCTGAAAGTACAGCAGTGGTCACTGCAGTGCTATTCACAAAAGCCTAAAGGTGGAAACACCCTAAATGTCCATCAACAGATGAATGGGTAAATAAAATAGGGTACATACATACAATGGGATCCTACTCAGCCAGCATGAGAAATGAAGTTTTGATACATGCTACAATATGGATAGAGCTTGAAGACACTACGCAGAGTGAAATAAATCACAAAAGGACAAATATTGTATGATGTTATTTATATAAAAAGATAATGTTGTTGTTATGTGCCGTTGAGTTGGACCCGACTCATAGTGACCCCTCCTTGGGTTTTCGAGGCAGTATCACTACGGAAGTAGATTGCCCTATCTTACTTCCGAGAAGTGGCTGGTGGGTTTGAACTGCCAGCCTTCTGGTTAGCAGTCAAGTGCCTTAGGCACTATGCTACCAGAGCTCCTAAAAAAAGACAATAGAAGGCAAATATATAGAGACCAAAGTTTATTAGTGGTTCCCAGAGCAAGGACAGAGGGAGAAAAGGGAGTTTAACAGGGATGGAAAAATCACATTATTAAAGGTAAAATCAATTAAAATCAATTATTTTCATTGCTGTCAATAAGTTGTATACTTGTAAAAAGTTGAATTGACAAAAGTGGCGTGATAGATATTTTTGCAACAATGACAAAAGAAAAAAAAAAGAGTAGCTGCTGAGGCTGCTATTTACAATCAAACAGGATTAGAGTCATGGTCTCAAGGAACATCCTTCCAGTTAATGAACCCAATAAAGCATTTAGTGCTTCTGTTCTACCTTCCAGTTTGTTGCACAGTACCTTGCAACAAAACATCCAAGGCACAACTGGAGCAATAGAGGAAGAAGGAGAGTCAGAATACTAAGAGGATATGGAATGTATGGCTAACTGCCTCCATTAACAACTGCCTCCTTTACCATGAAGCCAGAAATAGATGATCAAAGATTCCATAGAAGAATCCTGATCAAAAGATGGAAAGTTCAGAACAGAATTTGAAATTTCTAGAATCATGGAGGCTGGATGAATCTCTGAAACTATTACAATGAGATAATCTTTAAACCTTAAACAAAAAACATATCCTAAAGTCTTCTTAAAACCCAGTAATAATTTAGCTTAACTAGTAAAAAAATGTCTGCTTTGAGCATTATGTTGTTTTAAGAACTATCTACCTGTGATCAAATTGACAACAGTAACCCCAAAGATTAGACAGGAACCTCAGAGGGCAGTGAGCTTATGTTAATGAATAGAAACAACTCAAAAAGAAGAGGGAAAGAGTGGTTGCACAACACAATATAAACAATGCCACTAAATTGTTCATGTAGCAACCGATGAATTCATAAATGTTTTGCTGTGTATATTTGCAACGAATACTAAAATTCCTAATGCTGCCCAAAGCAGAAAGCACCAGTAACTGAATTAGCTTTATGACATTCTGAAATACTAAAACATTTATAAATTGGTTTCCTCTTTAACAAAATGACATTTAAAATAAGTGTATTAACAAAGCAACCAACCAACAAAACATTGTTCTAGACACTATGGAAATTAGCATGATTAATGTAAAATAAGCAAGCCCCCCTCTACCCCAAACCCAAACTCATTATTGTCACGTCAATTCCATCTCATAGTGACCCTAAAGAACAGAGGAGAACTGCCCCATAGGATTTCCAAGGCTGTAAATCTTTATAGGAGCAGACTCACACTCTTGCTCCTACAGAGCATCTGGTGAGTTCAAACCATTCAGTTATTAGTTGAGTGCTTTAACCACTGTGCAAACAGGGGCTCCTTCTCTTTTCCCCACCCTGCCAAAAGAAAAATCCCAAAACACCATTTTCCTTCATCTAGCAGACTGGATCACAGTCACAGGAGACAGAAATGGCCATCTCAGGTGGCCCTTTTGGGACACCATATGACAATGGGGCTTTTCTTACCGACTTCAGTAAAGACAGATGGCAGCAACACTGGCGGAGTCTCAGCAACTGTGACAGTATGTGGACCGTGCTGGGTCTCTGGGAGTTTTCCACTAAAGAGTGTGCAGGCCCACTGGATCCAAACTCCTGTGCCACTTCCAAGAGAGAAAACAAACCACTTAAAATAATATAGGATTTATGAAAGAAAAATATGGGGAAGAAGTAAGAACTAAATGAGGTTCTTACTATTATTTGGTCTGAGAGTCAATAACGTGATTCTAACTCACTTACGCACCAAGAATTAAGTGAAATCAAATACTAGTTTTCATACTATACCTGTTGTTGTTAGAGGCCATTAAGTAAATTTCCACTCACAAAAACCCCATGACAACGTAGAACTGCCCTGTAGGGTTTTCTAAACTGTAGCCTTTTTGGGAACAGACTATAAGGTCTTTCTCTTATCCTGCTGCTAGGAGGGTTAGGTTTGAACAGTTAACCTTTCAGTCAGCAGCCAAGAACTTAACCATTCTGTCACTAAGCCTGTCTTTAGAGAACTAACTGCAATTTTTGTTTTCTCTAAATTTTATTTGTTTTTGAGCATATACACAACAAAACATTTACGAATTCAACAGTTTCTACACCACATGTCATCTAGTGACATTGATTATATTCTTTGAGTTGTATAGCCATTCTTACCTGCCTTTTCTGAGTTGTTCCTCCCTCATTACATAAACTCACTGCCCCCTAAGGTTCCTATCTAATCTTTGGGGGCGTTGTCAATTGGATCACACATAGATAGTTCTTAAAAGAACGGAATGCTCAAAGCAGACATTTTTTACTAGTTAAGCTAAAATATTTTTTGTTTTTGAGAACATAATTCTCAAAGCAAACTTTTTTTTTTTTAACCACTTAAGCTAAACTAATTGCTCAGTTTTAAGGCAACTTCAGAGGATATTTTCTGCTTAAAGATCATCTCAGGGCAATAGTTTCAGGGGTTCATCCAGCCTTCATGGTTTCCGTAAGTCTGGAGTCCATGTGAATTTCAAATCCTGTTCTGTACTTTCCCTGTTTTGATCAGGATTCTTTTATGGGCACCATTCAGTTCTTCCAGTTTCACAGAAAATGAGGCAGGTGTTTATGGAGACAATTAGTCAAATGTTCTATAAACCAAAAAACCAAACTCACTGCCATCGAGTCAACTCCGACTCATAGCAATCCCCTTTGGGTTTCCAGGGTGGTAAATCTTTATGGAAGTGGATTGCCCAGTCCTCCTTCCATGGAGTGGCTGGTGGGTTTGAACTGCCAACCTTCTGGTTAGCAGTCAAATGCCTTAGGTACTATACCACCAGAGCTATCCTTATTCCTGACTCTCCTTCTCCCCCCAGTATTGCTCCAGGTGAATACTTGTTGTATCCTGGATGGCTGCTTGCAAGCTTTTAAGACCCCAGGCACTATGCAGCAAACAAGGAGGTAGAACAGAGGCACTCAACACATTATTAGGCCCATTAACTGGAATGTTCCTTAAAACTATGACCCTAAACCTCCAAACTCAGGAACCAAATCCCATAAGGCGTTTGACTGTAAATAAGCAGCCTCAGCAGTTATATTTTTCTTTTTTGTCATTGCTGTAAATCCATCTATCATACCACTTTTGCCAACTCAACTTTTTACAGGTGTACAATTTATTGACAGCAATTAAAATACTTGTCTGTGCAACTCCTATCTTTAATGGATGTAATTTTTCCATCCCTGTTAACCCCCTTTTTCCCTCCTTTCCATTCTTGGCACCCACTATAAATTTGGCATTTGCCTTTTCATAAGTGAGGTCCTAACTGCATTTTAATAAATCAGATTTAGATAATTAAAAAGTAGTTTAGATCACTAATTATGGTATCTAGCAGATCAGGATATTTTACTTTGGTTTGAGGTTCCTGGCTAAGATCAAGTCTGACACCCAGAATTCATAATTTCCCATTTTTGTCATTTTACTGAACCTGAATCCCAATTTTCATTAGCACTGTCCCACTGCTTACCTCTACTGAAGGGATTATCAGGGCTTCTTCCGTACTGATTGCCCCCACTTTCATGTCTTTTTAGGTAGGACTGCAGAGCTGACCTACCTCAGATCCAAAAAAATAAAAAATAAGAGCATGTATAATGGTCTCTAAGATTAAATAGCTTTCCAATCATTACTCTTTGACTATGTTGCCGTAGGATTGTGGCAAATTACAGACATAAACTTGTTAAATGATAGCAAAATCATAGGAAGCATTTGCCAAAAGTCATGAAAAAGAAATTATTTAAAAAACCAAATTAGTTTTTTAAATGAGGTAATAATAAACAAAAAGAATAAAAAGAGGAGAAAAAAATATATATATATTCATATATATATTCACACTGGAAATGAGAGTACTAAGTGAAAGAGAATAACTCTGGAATTCAGGGAAGGTCAAGAGTCCTAAAGACAATCTTCAAACTAAACTAAAAATATTTTCTGAAGTCTTCATTGCAAAGAGTTGATGACATGAAGGATTACAGGGCAGTTTTTGTTGTTTTTTAAAGGTCTGATGAAATGCTGAATAATATGTTAAAAAACCAAACTCGAGGGGGCCAGGTTTGCTGGTCTGATAGAGCCTGGTGGAACCACTGAGATTATGGTCCCTAGCTGCCCTTCAGGTCTGGAACTGAACTCACACCTGTGGCTTCCAGCCAAACAGAAGACAGGCATATGAGCTGAGGTAGATACACTCCCTGGAGAGAACAATCATGGGAGAAAGAAGGGCACAGGAAGACAGCTCAGGGGGCAGAAGTACATGGAGGGATGGGCACAGGGAAGAGGTAACTATTGGGAGGAAGTGGGAGGGGAGCTGTTACATTGGGGTAAATTGTGGTCAATGTCATGAGACAAAGTATATGC